ATTAAATAGCAGCCCGAATCTGCCAAAATTGTCAGTACCTTGGTAGATAGCCACCAGACCACATCTATAGTATATTGAATATGGATGTATCTCCAGCCTACCAGAAAGGTATATAATACTTTATGCCAGTAATAGTTTATATAAAAGCTTTTTATTTAATCATCTAGTTTGGCAGTTTGGCATTATTTACCATTTATGATAGATCCTGACTGAAGACCAAGTTTCCATAGCCATAATCCCATATTTTATAGTGATACCCATATACCAGGATAGAACACCACTGTATTTTGTAGTTACCATTAGAGATACCCCATCAACCTTATAGAATTTCATGGTAATTCCTACCATAGAATTTGTACCAGACCACAGGCAAGACGTGGCACCGTATTTGTCAAGCCTTTCATTACATCTTATATTATACATTATTCTAGACGTAACAGAAGAATATTCCTGACCTAAGACGAGGAGCCCGAGCCAGAGCCATCCACAGAAGATACTATATACCAATTTTATTGTTTGTGAAATGTATATTTAATAAATAGTTGTGTTAATCTTATTTCAGGTGTCCGTATCTTTTAGTCCTTGTGTCCCTATTTTCCCTTATCCATTTACGTGTGTTTGAGAAGAACCCACGTGTCGATATTGAAGTGTGTCCGGGCTAGCAGACCCCGGGTACGTTTCAATATAGAGGAAAGGCACCTCTTCCGGGAGCAGAAGCTCTCTTAAGGGCCACACCCTCGCTGTTGGTTAGGTCACACCAGCTAAGTGACCTAACTAGGTCACCCATCTGGTGTGAACTATGCCTTCCGAGCGACGTGTACGCTGCGAAAGGAAATCGGAAGTGAAAATCTACGAAGTTTTTATACAAAAAATGCCGAAAGCTGAGAAATATTACCATTAACTTTGGTTATTAACTTATCACCTTTTATTTATTGTATTTGTAAAAAGGTATCACCCTGGCTTCCTTTGTTTGTATAATAAACAACTTGGCTTCAGCTTAAGCCTTTGAGATTAATTATAACTAATCAGTGTCACTATTAAGCAGAAAAATTTAAAATGCAATATTGTATTTAAAAATGCTTAGAGATGTTTTTATTACATTGAGAAATTTTTGAAGTCTAAAAAAAAAATTAAAGGAAAAGGACATTATTGAAATCAACTCGTAAATTACCGTAATCAATGATTTTAACAAAAAAATCTATAATAACAGATGATCATTTTGATACTAAACATGACCATATTATCTTTAAGGAAAAATATAAAAATAATTACATATTACACATACAATATACAATAAATAGAAATTGGTGTTGTTTAATTTGTTAAAGTCTACGTCATGGCGGTACTTTTCTTTAGGTTTTGACTGGCAATAGGATGTCGTTGCTATTGGAAAGAAACTCTAAGACAAAAGAAAGAAACATTGATTACTTTCTATTTTTAATAAACAAATATATGCATACAGATATACTAAATTTGACCGTATAATACTGAATAACAATAAATACATAGTAGATAAACATGCATGTTTTTTAATATACAATGAATGTTATCTTATATGTTCTGTTATGTTGAAAATAAATGATAAATTTATATCTACCGCCATGTTCGAAGGATACCATGTTACCAGAAATACTAATAGGCATGTTATAAAAAAAAGAGCTTAGGCCCTAGGTAATCTAATGGCACAAGAAACAAAACACCCAAAAAAAATAACATTTAACACAGCATGCCTGTAAATAATAAAACAGCAATCGAACAAATTCGCTAAAAAACATTGATAAAATATATGTACATAAATCTTAACAATTAAGTCAGTCACGAAAAATGATACAACCAGAAAATCTGAAAATTTCTGATCAAAATGTATTTACAGTATATGTTCGAATGAGACGTAATGTTGAAAACATGTAAATCCTGATAAAACTACTCTGCGTGATTGACTAGATGTTATCAGACGTAACTCATGTAAACATTCAAGTTCATATAAAACTGACAATCAGTAGCTGAAATATGCATCGATCTGTTTTGTCGGACGATACAATAAAGTGAATTTACGTTATAAACAAAACTTCTGTTCATGTACAGTGTAAGATGATGTTGTAAAATAACTACATGATTATATCATTCTTTTTTATTTGTTTTATTTTTTGTTTTGCTATTGTTTTGTTTGGATAGATCTACAATTTTCAATTCTTGTTACATCTGATCATGACCTTTCCGCAATCACGTGATTGTGCCTTTTCGAAAGCTTCAGTGACATTTTCCAACTCAAATCTATGCGTGATAAGAGGTTTGATGTCCATCTGACCTGAAATTGAAAGTAAATCAATTAAAGTAAGTTAATTCAATGTATCTATGTGATGGGTTATGTCTAGGTAATGTCTTTTTTTCATATTTTTGAGTTGACAATCTCCATTCCCTACTTTAGTTACCGTTATTGTAGAGTCCGACAAGACCCCTTGAGTGACATGTCAAGATCAAAAGATGAAACTGGCTAGCATTGAAATAAGATGAGAGAGGCTGAGGGGCGTGTTTGTTGTTTGGGCTCAGTGTAAATGACGAAGACTTATCATTATTCCTTACAAACACACATGTTTTCTTTCAGAGCAGATGACTTTGATGTGTACTTATTTAAAGTATTAAGTGTTCAGTTTATGCATTTAGATCAGAATTGCATTCATTCTGGTGTTAATTATATTCCAAAGACAGTATCATATAAATTCTAGTAAATAACGCATTTCTTTTATCTCTTCACTTAAAAAAAAACGATATAAAATTTCAAATATATCTTAAACTTGAAATTTTATTTTGTATGCCGTTTCCATAAAAGTTATATGACTTGTAATATCACTGTCTGATATCATTTAAAAGCAAAAGTGGGGACTTCATAAGTATCAGCTTATCACTGCATTATATATAAGGTGATTTGTTAAAAAAAATTATACTTTTTTTTTGAATTATGAATGTGTATAACTGCTGTAAGATATGACTTACCAGATGATACAAGGTCAATTGCGAGTGGTGTGCAATATAGGTATGCCCTAACACCTAATATATCCACTTCCCTAAATGATGCGTTAATTATTGGTACAGTAACATTTGCTTCTCCGAGCCCAACCTGTGCCACACGACCACCACTCTTTGTAGACTAAAATTTAATAGGAAACGCCCCTTTTAACCATAACCTTATATGAGCCACGTCACGACAAAACAAACATAGTGCGTTTACGACCAGCATGGATCCAGACCAGCCTGCGCGTCCGCGCAGTCTGATCAGGATCCATGCTGTTCGCTTACCAACTCTATTGCAAGTAGACAAACTGATAGCGAACAGCATTGATCCTGATCAGACTGCGCGGATGCGCAGGCTGGTCTGGATCCATGCTGGTGGCAAACCCATTATGTTGGTTTTGTCATGGCGCGGCTCATATGTCTTCCTTTCTTGAGTTTGTTCAGAAACGATAATTGTTGGTCGCTATAGCAGACTAATTCAAAGAGGCATGCAAATAATATAATTTGAAATACTGAAGGACTGGGTGAATATCTCAAAACGCTGAACGATATAAAATGGTCAAGACATTGAGCAACATATCCATCCGATTGTTTCATCTTTTCATAAAAAAACACCTTACTTATTACATATTTAATTTACAAACATTCTCCTTTGTCATTTGAAAACAGTTATGTTTATAAAAGATTGCTGTACTATTTGGCTACAAGTGTAACAAACACAACAACAACTCACTCGTATGGCTGCCCTTATAGCACTTGGTGAACCACTACATTCTATAGCAACGTGTGGTTTCTCACCAAAACACTCCTCTACCATTTTTTCAATTTCCTCTGGTTCTTTAGATCTCACGTCTAGTGCATAATCAGCTCCTAACTGCTTTGCCAGTTTAATACGAGATTCAAGCACATCTGTCAAACAAAAGAAAAGTTTACAATCTAATTAAACCATGAAAACATAAAATAACTTGCAAGTTAAACCATTATCACAACAAGAATAAAAAAGATACCGCGTGTGATATCATAGGCGTTTGTGTTGTGAATCTTTGTGTCAAATTATGTTTATTTTCCACATCTCTAATTTGTTCTTAAATTCCATGATATTTATAGAAATTTCTTAATAATGATAAATATCATTTTCAGAAATTTCGACATAAACATGTTCTTCAGCAGAAACAAACATGTCATGTGGAATTTTATATAATATAAATAAAAAATGGATAAGATAACCTGTAACACAAATGTTTGTAGCTCCGAACACCCTGGCAGCCATCATTGACAGTAAACCCATGGGTCCTATAAATCAAATATCATTTTACTAAGTTATTATATTATAATTTATAGATATGATTAATTACAAAAATTCATTAACCCAAAACTACTATAACAAAATATTAATTTGGTACTAATATTTCCTCTCATAACTTAACAAATAGTCTAACAGTCAAGCCTTTTATCCCTTTACTTAATTGTTTTATACATAAACCAATAAAGGGTACAAACTTGGCACGCACTTTTTTTAAAGTTCCTCTCCCCCTCCTTCAAAGCACCCAAACAATCCAAAGTTTAGTTTACTCATCTCATCAATTCACTTAATTTAAACATCGTTAATTATTATAGTAAATATTATAACTATACCTGCTCCAGTAATGAGAACATTGTTTCCAGCAGACACTCCAACACGGCGGCATCCATGCAGGGCGACAGCAAGAGGTTCGAGCATAGCGCCTTCCTCTGTACTAATGTGGTCTGGCAACCTGGAAAATATAAGGTTTAAGTTGATAAAATTAATTGCGTTACTTCAACGTATTCTCAATGACACTCATAGGCAGTTATGCATTAGAAAATGTAGCATGCACTTTGTAATAACGACATCTATTCTCTTGAAAGTGTCACTTACCGGAAACAGTGCTTAACATTCTCAAGACAATATCGTGCCATGTAACCCCAATGTCCAGGAAAACCATGTATCGCTGCCTTCTCACATAAATTGAACTTTCCTTCTCTACAATCAGAGCACGTTTCACAATAGGAAAATGGATCCATGGCAACTTTGTCACCTATAAATTTCAATTATTAGTGTAGTCAGTATTTTCGTTTTGCTGTACCTTCTAGAAGGTACATGTATACTGAAAATAACAAAAAATCTAAAAGCGGATGGTTATTGCTTAGTGGTTACATTACCACCGATTTTGTACAAGAATGATGTAAAATAAAGTTTCTTTCCTTGCCTGATGCCTAAGAAGATATAAAAAGTTTTTAAATAAATTCATTTAAAGTATAAGTGAATAAATATGCTTATAATGATAGTAAAGCTGAATAAATAGGGTTCAGTTTACCGATCTTCAGAGACGTGACCCCTTCACCTAGCTTTGACACAATGCCTGCGCCCTCATGTCCTAAACCATAGGGATCCTTACTTTCAAGACATTCCGGAATTCCGTTATGATTCCAGAAACTAAGATCCGAACCACATATTCCAACATTTTCTACACGGATTTGTACCTCTGCAAGAATATTGAAATGATCCCTACAGGTTCAAGAAATTAATGTCTTTCAATTTGATGTATATAACGCAGTCTTATTTAACAAGAATAAAATCAAATCAAAATTCTAATCAAAACTTTTAAAATGGACTAACAATGGTCTGATGCCGTAGAATGAAATATATGAGTTATTTGAGTAAATAAGAACAACTATCAACTAAATACAATGATAATGGTTTCAGACTTTTGATCCAAATGGTACGTTTTTCGATTCCGTATTGTACCAGATTTGTTCAAAATAGAAATACCAACCTCCGGGGCCTGGTTCTGGTATTTTTTTGACTTGCTGAAAAAAGTAAAATAAAACTTTATTTTCACAAATGAAAGATATAATATAGCTATTTCATATATTTATGATGCAAAACCAAAGGCTTTGTCTTTAGGGTAAGATTAAAACTGAAGTTCAGTTAATCTTTTAAAACAGATATGTGAAGAAAGTGTAAAATGTCATGAGCAATTAGTAATTTAAAAATTTTTTTTACTGCTTCAATTTTCAAAATATCTTTGACTTCTGCAACATTATTTGTAGAAACAGTGTCTCCCTAAGGTTAACTGTTAAAAAGCATTCATGCGGACTGTTTATAGCACATTGTCCTCAGGTTAAAGCTTTAAAAGACCAGGTTACTTATCTGAACAGAACCGTGTGAAGGTGAATATGTAAATGTAAGATTTTATTCCCCCATTAACTGTAACCAGAAACTCTTCCTAGTCATATCCTGTCTTCTTTCTTTATTTATTGCTTGGAATTATTAACAGCTGACAGTATTTCACTAAATCACCTACTATCTTCAATCATTTACTAATAAAGATTTCTTTGAAAGCATACAAAATGTTTTCAAACCTAAAATTTACGCATTTCTTACAAATTAAGACTGTCTTTATGATAAAATGAAGGAGCTAAATATTGTTGAACTTGCTAAATTGATAGAGTCAAAGAAGCCGTTATTATACTCATGTACGGCATTTGTATCAATGGGCCGTGTTTGTTTCCGCTTGTTTCATATAGTTGTATAGACAGGATGATATTCGTATTTACATTTGTATGATATAGCCTATATACATTCAAGGACTAACTTTACTGTCCATGTAACAAATACAAAAAATTTGAGGTAAAAAAAATACAACATATCAAATATCCTCGGGGCAAGAATGATATATATGTAAATCTCCGGTTAACTAAGGTCAACGTTTTGGTTTGAGAAGTAAAATTATAATGCGGTCGAAAAATCTAGGCCAAAACTTTTAAACTTAATTATGTATGTCTTGTTTAAATAGTTTCTCGTTTTTTAGTTTGTTTGTTTCTTTAGTTTTTTTTTGTTTTTTGTTTTTGCTTTTTTGTTTTTAATAAATAACATAATCTAACATAATCATTGAAAGCTTGATGTGGAGATAAAGCTCGCTATCTATGTTAAATGTCCATAAGATGTACTTTGTTCGCTCCGAAGATCTACTTGGAATTATAACAATAATTATACACCTAACAAAGATTAAAGGTTGGTATTGTCCATTATTCTTGTATAAAAACTTCGTTCACAGGGAATAAAATGTGCATTGCCAGATAACATAACGCGTGTCTGCGCCGTTGCTGTACATTTTAATATAAGTTTTGGCGCCACGTAAAATAGCTTCTTGAAAAGACGGACCCGGTAATTTCATTATCAAAACATTACTGTCAAATAACATCGCACTAGCACATGAAAAGCACGACGAAGCCGATTTCTTTTAGGAAATTAGGCAACGAAACGCGACATTACCGAAGCATACATTTCCTTTTATGCAAGAATAGTGCAAATGCATCTTTTTGCGAGCATTCATCTGCAGAATTCATCGGCCTCATTTTATCATTTGCCCTGTGGGCTCGGGCTTTAAATGCGCCCATGCAGATGACATGCACGAAAAATGATGCATTTACTCTCTATTGTTGGTAAGTAACATTGAAAGAAATTAGTCTGTACGCTGTTGTATGCAAAAAATTCTAAACTAGATATTTTTAGAAATAAATTTCAAACCAACTTACCAAGCGGACATCTTCTATTCCATGAAATACAGCTGTTAAATTTGCCTCAGTCATTATATTTTAGAATTGATAAAACATAAAAAATCTAATTGTGTTACACCAGAACAACACGAAGTAAGTTTTACTAATGTTGCGCGCTCTAACCCTCCGCCAAGTATAAACGTAATTAAAAGTTAAACTACCGTTTAAGTACAAAAAGTTTATAGGGTTTAACAGAAATGGTGTTAACTTGCATTTATTTTGAAGAAGAAAAAATGTAAAATTGACCTTGAGTATTTGACGTGTAACGTCGTCAATCCGTGACGAATATGTGATGGTGATTCAATTATGATATTTGTTAACTGTATTTTCACAATATTTTACAATTATGTCTGTATTATGTACTCGGTCTAACGATGTAAAAAATGTGTTCATCAACCCAAAACTTGTGTGTTCAAGAACAAACTTTAAAAATACACCAGTATAATAATATTATAGTATTTGTTCCTTTCTGCTTTATTGTAATGTTTGATATAGTTCCAGATCAAAAGCAAGACCGTGAAAATGTCTTCCACAAGAGCTAGCTCGGTTATAATAAAGGTACAGTCTGAGGAAGGAAAACTAGGGGGAGTATAGTATCATAATTGCCTTTTGGCGTGTTAAGTTTCACACACAAATATGTTTAGGCGATTGTTAGAAATTGCAGGAAATAATTAGTAAATAATAGTCTTCTTTTCGCTTACCTAAAAACATTCTACGGTTTACAGGCATATAGAAAGGTTCGCTAATGCCCATGAACAGAATTACGCGACACACAAAACAAGTCTCTTATTTTCACATGTTTAGTTTTGTCTTCATTGCCCTTGAAGGATCTCGCTTTTTCTAAATTTCATTTTCTTAATAGATTTTAAAAATTTAACTGGGTTAATGTAAATTGTGACTGGTTTTCAATTCAAGTACAAGTATGGAATGTAACACAAATACAAAACACGCCGCTTATGATGAATTCTAATTAGTTGGATTATGTTTCGTGTTATTTCCTTTTTGCATTTGTTTATGGTTAATTTCGCATAATTAAGACTTTCTGATATTTCTTTTTTTAACAAAAGCACGACACTGTTACTGAATCAACATGAAAGTGTGGTAAGGATTCAATAATAATATTCTTATGATAAAAAAACGCATTGAATAGAACGCATTGAATAGACGCAAAATGGTAAATGATATACATGTAATCCGTCTGAAAGGCCAGTTATGCTCAATAAATGTTGTGGCTTTTATTACTCAAATTTCTTTTTCTTGGTGTCCTGTTTCAATTACTTTTTTGGCTAATTTCCTGGACTGTCTTTTGTCTCTGATGCTTTTTGTCAATTAGTACAGTTATATGACATTTTTATTTTGTATAGAAGTAAAAGTAAAAAAACGACTTTGTTCAGATTTTGCTTCTTTTATGACAAATAATTCCAAATCCAGCCTTACTTTCTTTAGATGATAAACATTTAACAAACTCTGAGATCATTATTTAGAAGTTATAAAACTGACGTTTGCCCTTTCTAAAAAAAGAAGAAAACTTGATTTGTTGTGTGACTAATCTGTACATTTACGCAAATGTACACGCTGACTATATCTGAGTTAAAGGTATGTTTAAGGTTTAAGAAACATAAGTATATTTGAGCCGCGTCATGACAAAACGAACATAATGGGTTTGCGAACAGCATGGATCCAGACCAGCCTGCGCATCCGCGCAGTCTGATCAGGATCCATGCTGTTCGCTTAAAAAACCCTATAACAAGTAGAGAAACTGATAGCGAACAACGTGGATCCTGATCAGACCACAGGAACTTGACATTTAATCAATAGATCACAAAATATGCGTGTATTAGTGATATAGCCCTTATCTCTATATAGTGTTTTTATATAGAGATAAGGGCTATATCACTAATACACGCATATTTTGTGATCTATTGATTAAATGTCTAGTTCCTGTGATCAGACTGCGCGGATGCATGGATCCATGCTGGTCGCAAACCCATTATGTTGGTTTTGTCGTGACGCGGCTCATTTCATCTTTTATATGATAGTCGTATACACTGATGATATCCGTCACGGCCTATAAATCTGAACAAAAGCAACATCCTCATATGTAACCTTGAGTCGCCTAACACAAAAATACATAAATCTATGGAACGCCAAAGGAACATGAACTCAAATAGTTGAACCACAATTGTTTATTTGATTTAGATACTCAAACGGGCAAATGAATAATAAATGTTCAAATACATAGTTATGTTGGCGTTCCGTATAAAGAACAAGTAACGATAAACATAAGGCCAAAATATTTAATATTTCACCATCAGTACATTTCATTTTTATGTTTATTACATTTATCAATTCCAGAATATATAGATCTACAAAACATAACAAAAAAAAGAAAGGAGGATATATAAAAAAGTGAAAGGATTAAAATGAAATCACATCTTCACCAATTCAGTATAGCATGATAAAATTATTTCATACATTCTTAAATAATAATTTTCATGACAGTTGCAACATACGGTACATAAGAAACGACCATGACACAATCAAATACAAGAGGTATCTTTAAAACAGATACTCAGCTAAGGTAAACTTAGATTAATTGTTTTGAGCAAACTCTAACTCAAATTTGCGTTATTTCTAACAGGTTGTTACTTATTAAAAAAGATTCATAAGATTTCTTGAATGTAATTCAAAAATGTCTACATATAAAATAAACATGTTCCGCTTATACATAATATTATATAACTAATATGAAGAACCAATTTTGTTGTTGATCAAAGTCTAATCTTTATTACAAATGATCATAACTTTCATGCATTCTTTTGTCCTCGCCATCTTAAACGCCTCGTTAACCTGTTCCAATGGAAACCGGTGAGTAACCAAAGACTTTACACTGACTTGACCTGCAACAAGCAAACGTTTTCTTTTTAAAATTAACCGAAATATAATATAATAAGATATATACATATCTCTCCTCTGTCCAAATATTTGAATAAATACATTCATTTTAATATATATAATATAATAAACTTCAGGACAAGAAAAGGCATTTGTAAAAATGTCGTATTACATGTAGCTTTAACATTGGCATCGCTGCCAATCGTCGAAGGTGAGTCCTTGAACACAGCATGTTTATTGTTTGTATGAATAAAATCACAGCGATGAATATGTCATTATCACATACTAGTAGGTTGAATTTATGCATGTTTATGAATTTATAAATCACATAGTAAAAGCAAACAGAGAAAGCTCATATTTTAATGCTTTGCAATCGGAAAAAGAATATATTGTCTTACCTGAGGCTATCATTTCACGTGCTATTGGATAACAATGTGCATTCACGGACACTCCACGGATATCAACTTCTCTTAAACCAGCGTTTATTATTGGTAATGTAACAACATTTTCTCTCAGTCCACTGATTGTAACGTTGCCGCCATTGCCGGTTGCCTAGAAAAGTAGCTTTATCTGTAGTTGATAGTTCTACTCAAACTCAAAAATAGAATATAAGGCTTGCGACCATATTTTGAATACTGCAGTAGGTTTAGTACCAATATGCTTAAAATTTAGTACAAACTTAAATATATGTAAATTCAAGACACTACTTCTGATTTAACTGACAGACAGATAATCGTATGTTTATTGGGTAAATGCTGCTTTTTTATTATTTTTAATATATGTATAAATATCAAGTATTTATAAAATAATGAATTCACAGCCTGAAAGTTAGTTTGACAAAAGTACCTATGCACATTTTCTTTTAGACTTACATAGATAGCAGCCTGGATACTGCTCTGGAATCCAGTACTATCTATAGACATGTCAGCTTTGCCACCCAATGCATCTATAACCATCTTTGCAACTTCTTTTGGGTCCTTGATAGATGTCACGTTCAGTGCGAAATTAGCTCCTGCTTTCTTGGCTATGTTCAGGCGGTAATCATGTTTACCTATAAAGCAGTGTTATATCCATTGAAGGCCATGTGTCGTACTAAAGTAACATGTACTTGGCATACATACAGAAATATTAATTACAAAATGAATCTATTCGAAAAAAACCGACCTATTGTAAGTTAAATAAATCAAAGTTACTTGAACCTTCTAAAACATTTGTATTGAGTCTTGCGAATTACTAATGTTTTTAATACAGATATTTCTTCTACTAACAATACCCCAGACCGCTAAATGCCACTAGCAGTTTAAACAGAAACATTTTGCATGTTGTTGCTTTTTTAAATATAATTTATGCAATGATTTGTTTTAAAAAATTCTTTAATTTCTTTATATATGTGTTTTACGTGCTACTTGACTTCGCAGTGTTGTTACGTTTTTCTAATCAGTAATTTTAGCCGGTGCTATAGGGTGTGACTATACAACAAAGCCAATAAAATTAGTCTAAAATGTTCTGCTTTTTTGTTGTGGCCATTGCTCTCAAGGGTTCTCAAGATTTGTTAAGATTTTTCATGTCGTTGCTTACACAACCAATAGGAACTTGTTGTATGTCAATTTGACTAACCTGTTATTACAATTTTGGTGGCACCACTTGCTTTAGCTGCGATAACTGTCGTTACACCAATTGGACCTAAAAATATAAGTATAAAAATATTTTGTGAAACTATTTACGCAAAAAGAGTATTAACTATAAGTCAGACCATTTTTCTACTTATCACACAGGTGGACTTTCAGACATCCCTTCACTGACTTGTTTGTCTGTCTCTTGCCAGACTGGCGCCCTTTCAGGTGGCACAGATTTGGTATATTGTTGGGACTGCATTCTATGAATATTGATCTTTAGTCTCATATTACACAATACCAAGGAAGAACATATGTGCAATTTACAGTGGTTATTTACATAATGAAAACATCTGCTAAGAAATGGGTAATGTGTTTCCATAATAAGTAGCAAATGTATACGTTTGATTATTTTTAGTAGGTACACGTATTACATTAATTGAAGAAGGCAAAACCGACATGTTTCAAGAAAGACATTTCTCAAAAAGTATGTTTTATCGATCAATTTTAATCCCAATTTGGCTAATATTGCGACGCAAAAAATTCCTATTGCTCAAGCACTAAGAAGAAAGACAATAAAGGGCTCGTAATCATTGTGCAGAAGTTTCTATCTCTTTTTTTAATTACCTTTGCTACCCTACAGAATTATTTTAACATTTTTAGAACAAATGATTATTTCTGAGGCGACCTAAATGTTTAAAAAATGTGTCTAGACTTACATACAAACAACCTATTAGCAAATATTTATCTTACCGTCACCAATAACAAGAACTTTGCTCCCGAGACAAACGCCTGCACGGCGACATGAATGAATAGATACAGTAAGGGGTTCCATCAAAGCTCCCTCTTCAGTGCTCACATTTTCCGGTAGCCTTGAAAGATAAAGAATATACCTGATAGTTTGATAATGGTATAGAGAACATGTTAATTTCAAACAAGTGAATATCATCAAGAATTTTCTAAGAAATGGCATAGAACAAACGTCCACTTTTGTAGGTAAAATTGAAACAATAAAAACCGTCCACCAAGGCATTATTGATAATGTTACATAATCGGTTTAACAACGGTACTGTTAAATGCTAGCGATTGTCCATGCCCCGTAGCACCGGTTTAAATTTAACAGTGGTTAAAGTTGGATAAATGTAATAGCTGATTTACAATATTCTGGAATCAGCTATAACTCACAGATAATAAAATTAAATATTAAAATTAACTGAATAGACATAGCTTGACTAAATGACTAAAAAAGCACTAAATATTTATTGTCTTAAACAAAGAATATTTTTTTCGGATTGTTGTATATATTGTGTTACTATTGAGACACTGTCGTTAAAATCAAAGTTGCCAAAACAGATAATTATATATCATATCATGTAGTATTTAACCAGAAAGAATTTTCAGAAAGTGACGAATAGCACAAAAAACAGAAAGTATAAAATAACATACTTGTAACAATCAGAGGCTCGATGGACAAAGTAGTTAGACATGCTTCCCCATGTCATTGGTGTACCGCATACTTTAACATCTTCACATATGTTGTAGTTTCCTTTCTTACAGTCCAAACATGACATACAGCCGTACACAGACTCTAATGCAACCTTATCACCTAATAGAACGAGATGAAATATAGCGTTTGAAATATGTCGATAAATATATCACATTGACTTTAAACAATTACATTATATTGGTAACTGTTATATTGAATTTTCCTAAACCTGCTGCGTGTGTACTGGGTTTGCCCTGCTTTGAATTAGGAACAGTCATATACAAAGTTAAAGGCATTCCGATTATTAAAATGCAAACATTTTGAGCTACAAACAGTAAAAGGCTGTTCAAATGTCAAAAAGGTGACTATACTACTTGCAAAAGCTATTCAATTTCGGTTCTATCAGATAAAAGGTTAATGTACAATCTCAATATTATACTCTTAAATTTGCACATCTCACCAGTAAATTATAATCTCTTTAATACAGCTACACAACCGTTACAATAAAGATAAATCATTTTTGGATATATACATTTACTGCAACTGTTATGCGTAAAAGAAATACAATTCCGCTAAAATGAGATATGAAATCAAAGAAACTGCAATATGAAAAGTGAATAAAACTCAAAGAGAAAATTGATATGACCAACTGTCATTTTTTCAGAATTGCAAAATACCGCTATATATTTTTCTCTTCAGCTTGCGAAAATAACTCTTTGCATATAGAGGAAATTAAGAAGTAAAAAGAGTCCATTATTGTGCCAAGTGTAACATCTAATAGTTTCATTGTTAAAATGGTAAAGAACATGAAAGTAATGAAAACAGATTACATGTATAAGCGGGCAATTTAAAGCATTGTAATTTAAAACCAAAATAAAGTGCTAAAGTATTATAAAATTCTCAATTAAACGCATTTAAAAAAAAGATTAAAATTCAAAGTTCTGTTACCTTTGAGAAGTAGTTAAGACTTCCTTTAATTATTAGCTTACACAATAAAACCAAATGTTTAGCAAGCACATTTTAACTCGTACCCACTTTAAAGGAAGTAACTCCTTCCCCAAGTTTGCTGATGATTCCTGCTGATTCATGTCCAATGGCTAATGGCTGTGTGACATCATGTTCACCCAAATAACCATTGTCAAAGATTTGTAGATAAGTTCCACAAATACCAACATGTTGCATTCGAAGCTGAACCTCTGCACAATAAAACCAGAAAGCAATAGATAATAAAAGCATATGAAATTAACACAAATTTTAAGTCATTTATGACCAGCGTGAAATGTATACTATTGATCTTAATAAAAAAAAGTGCGCCCCATTAAAGCAAAAAGCTACCAAGCGACATTTTGGCCAAAAATGACTTTTGAACATTTTTCATTATGTTTTAATGTTATCCTTAATCTGTAGAAATATCTCTGTAGTATCATGTTTATTTACAGACATATAAGGTTATGTAAAAAGGTACAATGTCAATATTTTCCCATTTAGTAATGCAAAAAGGTACCATATGTATACCAGTTTGAGCAAAAAGGTACCAAGTGTCACATAGTACCTTTTTGCATTGAATGACTTTATCAGTTTTGAGCACTTATTTAAATGCAAAAAGTACCATGTGTCACATGGTCCCTTTCTGCACACACAGAATTTACGACCCTTAAGATTATTTTATATATGAAATTGTTTGCTTGGTACCTTTTAGCTTTTTAATGAATACACATAAGGCATCAAATATAACAATGTATCCCAGAGTATTGTTTTTGTTTGAAATTGAGGAATGATAACAGTGTGAAGATAATGATAGTGTATAAATGACTTCTTCACAAAAACGTGGACGTAAAAAGAAAAGTCATTGACTATACTCTTGCCAACAAGATACATGGGTCATATGGAAGGAGAAGCATGACAGGGAAGCGTACATCTGCAAATAAACTAGATTATGATATAGTTAGATTGGTGAAACAGCATAAAGAGTAATTGCTTAAAATGAAATCTCATTGTACAAGAAGAAAAACTGAAATAAACAATACCTATCTCATGACTATGACTTAAACATTAAAAAGATGTGGACACTGTAAACTATTGAATGTGAAATGAAAGAAATAAAAGCAACATATATACAGGAAGGCAGTAGGCACATCAAGAACAATATATTGAACATCAAAAACAGAAAGAAAATTCACAAGAAGAAAAGGTTAAAAATAAAGTTGGAGCAAAAGGTGACACATGCGTTTATGTTGCATGTTTTGATCTCAAGGTCGTTGTAACAACCCCTTCATAAGTGAGTGAGCTTTACTATTCAAGAAAACGCTGTTTCTACACAACTTGACAGTATATATTCCTTATGAGACAAAAATGTTGTATGTCATTTATGGGATAAAACCAGCTGCAAAGAGAGGCATGTGAAATAGCTTCCTGCTTAATAAAAAACCCTTTTTTACTTGCCAGAGTGGTAATGTCAAATAAGTCATATATTTTTCAGATTCATAGGGGGGACAAAACAGAAATTGAATCGTAGCTGCGTCTCTTCTTTTATATTATCACAAGTTCCAAGTTTAAGATTGATCATCACAAATTTCTTGTATCGGGTCACTCAAAGATGGAGTGACAACTTGACTGTTGAAGGGGCAAAGAAAATAATTCCTGTATAATTATGTATCATTCAGTTGTGTTCTCTTATATAACTCAGGCCAGAAAATCACAGCCATACATTGCTGTGCCAATGAAATATAAGCATGTTTTTTTATTTCAAATACTTCATTAAAACAGTGTCCGAGACTCAAAACATCCATTGACGGACAAAGAGTAAACTGGCTACAGGTGAAATGGATACAGGTCAGTATTTGTAAATTACAGCTTCAATGCTGAAGATTTTATGAACATAGAAGTTCAGAATACAGAATCTAGACAAAAAGGAAATATGTATCAGTGGCCAAATGGTGAACAAGATATGAAATTTTAATACCAGACCGCCAGTTTTAATTCAAAAGAAAAATGACTTTGTTACTTTGTGTGCAAAGAAAGTTATCCCAAAAGAGTTCCATAATTATAATGCCACATAACCAACATACAGGATAGAAAATGGTTATGTCACGATGGAATCGGACGAGAATGATTCTGATTTTAACTAACAATGTAAGAGATCTTGACATAGGCATTGAAATTGATCACAGAAGAAGACTTTCAAAACATGCAGTGTGATATTTGTATCAGACATTTACTGAAAACACAAGAATTTCATATTTTTATTTGCATCATTGTTGAATAAAACTGTAAACAAATGATGCTTTTGTTAATATTGTTGGGACAAAAAGGTGCCAACTGCCATATGGTACTTTTTTGATATATTCGACAGCAAATGTTAAAAATCATACAATGCAAAAAGGGGCCAAGCGATTATATGGTACCTTCTTGCATTTGTCGGTCAAAATATTTATTAGTGCAAAAAGGAACCATTTCCTTTAATTGATTAATTATCACTAATTAGTGATATATAAGCTTTCCAACTTTTTGAGCATGTACATTCAAATATTATCTAAATATATGTGAAGTTTCTTTGCCATGTCTTAAAAACCTGATTTGATATGGAACTTCAAATCTTTAAACGCGATTTTCTCGAAAACATGAAAATGTCACTTGGTACCTTTTTGCTTTAATGGGGCGAGTGATATTTAGCCGTTTGCTGTTAAAGGCAAATTATGCCTCAGAAATCCATATCTTATTGATTCTTTAGAAATACCAAACCTGTGTTTAATTATGTATAAATAATGCATATCAGACGTTTAAGAACTGAAGAAAGTAGCGCTGAATATAGTCATGTGTTGTAAAGGTCGCAAAATTTGAACAAAGTAGTGTTTTGACTTCCATACAAAATACAAATACTAATTCACTTGCCAACAGAGCTAAAGATGTAAAAGATAGTTCATGTATGTAGCAAATATATAAACATGTATAATATTGGAAACTATAACAAGATACCAAAAATAAACATTTTTTTTGAGAAATAAAAATTATAGCATTTTCGAGGCATAATGGCCCTGTAAGGCATGACAATTTTAAATGAATTGAACGTCTAATTACAAAATATTCAAGTGGTTGTTTCCCTTGTATGTTTACGTGATGTTTACCTGTAACATGATATATTGACCTTGAGAATGAGAGGTTATCGATCGAATGGTCTCCGTCATTAAGCTACCTTATATTTTGTCGCTAGTTTAATTTACGAGTTTTCCTGTTAAAACATGATATTTCACCGTTGAATGAGTATATCCTTGTTTATGTATTTCATTTCTGAATTCAAAAATCCTGCAAACTAAAGGGGTTGACAGACCTTCAATTTAGCATGTAAGGTTCAAACTTACCCCCTGAGCCTGGTTCTGGAATTTTTGTTGTTTCCTACAAAAAAAGAAGATAAAATATGGTTAGAAGCGTTTGAGATAATGAACACTCGTGCATTTTGAACATGATATAGGGTGCAATTAAACTGTGGATAACTGTTATAAAGACGGTTTTACAATGACATAAATTTGTAAACATATTTACATTGTAATTCCTTTTTATGCCAACATTTTTTTATGAATCATCTTTCATTACATTTAAATGTTTATCTTTTATAAGAAAAAGATTTTTAATTCACAAAATAAAAACGGTGAAAAAAAGGAAAATCACAATAAGTGTTTTGTATATTTTGACATATAAGAATGCAACATTGACAGTCTTTGTGAGCAGTAGTGTTCCAAAGGTTTAACTATATGACTATAATACCGCCTCCGTGGTCGAGGGGTTAGAGTCGATGACTTCTAATCCAGTTACCTCTCTGGCGTGGGTTCGATCCCCGGGAGATGCTTTGGTAGTTTAGCGCGGAGGAAAGGTAGTCTAGTACTGGTGTAACTCTCCAGGAACGATGGTTAGGAAACTACCCGCCTATATGACTGAAATACTGTTGAAAAAGGCGTAAAATGAAACAAACAAAATATGACTATAAAACAAGGGGTTGGGAGTTTGATCCCCTCTCTACTCCAGCTAAAATTACAAACAATTTTTTTCGGATGAACTTTAAATCAGAGGTTCCATGCAATGGTGCCTCTTACTTTGCATGTAAAAGAACCAGATGTTTCTATGAGATTTGAGTAACTTCGGCATCCGTTGCACTATCCTCCAAAAATGTAAATTATCAGGAGTGAGTTGACTACAATATATAAACCTATACACATAAAAATACTTGCCAGAAGCACCAACGTAGCAACTTATGGAGTCTTAATAGCTATGATTGCACATTAAGCTCTTGCCATTGCAAACGTTGAGCTAAAAAACATAACAAAACAACACTATATAAAACAAAATTTCGTTGCCTTACCAAGCGTAAATCTCCCTTTTTGTGAATTACAGCTGTTAAATTTCCATCCGCCATTTTTGAAAACCAAAATGAAATAACAATGACTCAAAAATAACACAGTTTCATCAAAATCAAATGTTCGTTTCGGTCCGATACTATATGCTACGGAGCGTAAAGTAGTGTTTTAGTATATGGTTTTAAATACACGCGGTGTAGTCAAAACTGACAACTGTAAAATGCGTGGAGCTGCGACATCGTCTGTTCCAGCAGCGGATAATGCCTTAAATGATGTACTAGCTAGTACAATATCAAGTTGCTATGTAGCTTATGGTACAGAAACAACAAAGAAAAGTCTAAAATCGATTTAAATATTTTAGTTAAGGGAAACATATTCAGCTTTCTTCTTACTATATTTAAAATGACAATTATTTGTTCTTGCATGATCTTGTTTTAAATCGGCACTTTATGGCATGAGTGTGGAATTATGCAAAACAAATTTTAAAAAAATAGTACCAGCATATATTTTGTCAAATATATGTAGTATGACTTATTTCTTTATGAAACAAATAAGACTTGTATAAAAGAAATAAAGTTTTTTTTTTTTCAAGTTCAGAAGTTTTTTCTTTCCCATTTATATTGGTGAACCTTGCTCGACGTAAATTATGAAATTTGATAAGTGTACATATTATCCGCCATAATTATGACTACCAAAAGTCAATAAAATGACACAGATTTAGGGGAAAGGTCAATGCCTTCGTACGAGAACATTAGTATAAAAATATCGTATTTCAGATAGAGGTTTTTTCTCCGTTAAACTTACCGTAATAAGACTCTTATTTAGAAATAAAATAAAGTATATACTAAGAATTACAGTGTATTTATACACTATTTCAAAAATAACAAATGTAAATGAGCAAGTGCGTAAACTTGAAAGAGAAAGAGCAACAATAATCAAAATAGTAAAGTCCAAAAAGGAGGACAGAAAGTTCATCGTTTCAAAATCCACAAATGTAAGAAAGGCTAAAGTAATTAGCTTTATAGGCATATTGTGACACTTATTTATAAATACTACTATAAATGACGACCAACACACATTACCATTGCTTTCACGTAAACATTGCTTTCTGTCCACCTGAATAAACAATCAATGTTTTCGCTCTTTCTTGTATTCTATATGTAAATCAAAGTGCTGCAGCACTGAATGCGACGGACATGCAACCGGAGAGACATTAAGGCTTTTTTTAGAAAAAAAAAAACACAAAAGATATAACAGAGAAAATTTGTTCCATACAAGTTCGAGATTTGTAGAGCAATATATTTTATGTGTCCCAATCTGATGTAATTCAGAGTTTCTACTTATACAGAATGAAATTTATGCCTAAAAACTCTGGTCAAACTTGTAAATCAGTGTCCTTATCGATTTATTCCAAGGAATGATATGTAAATAGAAAAAAACTGTCAACAAAATATTTCTAAAATAAAACCATGCAAATTAACTTCAAGCATAAAACATTATACGTGTGAGAATGTTATTTAGAATTGCTTCGTGTTATATCATAGTGGGCATATAGACAATAAAATATAAGTCATTTGTATTTCTATTTCTCTTGGATATGTCTCATTAAAATATTTTGGTTAAAATCATCAGCAATTAAAAGTGTATTTTTTAGATTTTTTTTATTTACAAGGTTAAGATGTAGAGGCCAGAGCACCTCGTTTTTATTTTAATTTAAATGTCACTTAAGCTGTTCTTTTCAATTTCACACTAAATTCCATTTTCTTACAATTGTAAGTATTGCATGTAAGCAAAGTAAGTATCCGCTGGTTTATTACATGTATAATGTGTACACCCTAATCGCCTGCAGGTGAAGCAGAATCTATTTTTAGAATAGCGAATGTTAACTCATATCGTGACCTAGAAAAAATATGTAAACAAACCACAAGAATCGGAAGTAGAACTGATATTATAACTTCCTTCAATAAAGATTACCATGAAAGACTACATGGTAGTAAAGTGTTGAAAAAACTCTCTTGTTACATGCATTTTCAAAAATAGATATTTATACTAACCATTATACTGTATCTAATTTATCAATAACTGCTGAATATTCAGCTAAACCCGCGGTATGAGTCACGAAAATAGTTCTTCTTTTATTTATGCGCGAGTTATTCTAGAGTCACGAAAAACTTTGATTTGTTAATAATTATGTTTTGTATAATGTAGAAATATTTATGTCCTTCTAATAATTTTTTGGAACTCGGAGCTTACACCTTTATAATAGTATAATTTGCTGTCCTACTTTTTCGACAGCTGTAAATCGTTTCGGCAGTAATTTGCATATTGCGCAATAATACTACGGGACTACAACGTTTTTATCAAACAAATACGTTCATATTTTAACTTGGATAACTTAATTTGAAATTGAAAAGGCTAAATATGGAAGATTTTAAGATATCCCGACAAAGTATGTGAGTTTTAAAGGATCAAATTCATGTACTATTTCATGGGCTGTTATTCGGTTGAGGACACTTTGCGCGATTGTAGCAGACGAAATCCCATGTGTAGATGACTTAGCTCTGAACGCGCCTGAGGGCGCGTCCGTCGCAAAAAGTATGCAAGAACAACGAGTAATAGTCTGGTTCTATAGAAAAGCTAATTTCTTTAATGAGGTGGGTGTCTGTTCTGCAAACTTGTAATGACTTACAGAAAAAATCCTTATTCATAACTATAATGATAACAAGAACTGTCGGAGGACAGTAACGCTCGACTATTCGAAAATTTGTCACAAGGGTGTTTCATTGAGTATAATAATGCTTACCTATATGAATACATAAAATTGTCCGAAAAGGTACAAACTCTTCAAGTTTCAATACATTCCCTTCAGTAGTTATGGAGAGACAAGCTTACATGCAAAAACTTAACCAAGAATTTCTAAGTCGAAAAAGGGGCATAATTATGCAAAAAAGCAAATCAGAGTTATGGGACTTGTACCAATCATCTTAGATAATCACAGAGACCAAGTGTGTGAAGTTTCAATCCATTCCCGTCAGTAGTAATGGAGATACCAGCTTACATGCAAAAACTTAACCAAGAATTTCTAAGTCGAAAAAGGGGCATAATTATGTTAAACAGCAAATCAGAGTTATGGGACTTGTGCCAATCATCTTAGATAATCACAGAGAACAAGTGTGTGAAGTTTCAATCCATTCCCTTCAGTAGTTATGGAGATACCAGCTTACATGCAAAAACTTAACCAAGAATTTCTAAGTCGAAAAAGGGGCATAATTATGTAAAAAAGCAAAATCAGAGTTATGGGACTTGTGGCAATTATCTTAGATAATCACAGAGAATAAGTGTGTGAAGTTTCAATCCATTCCCTTCAGTAGTAATGGAGATACCAGCTTACATGCAAAAACTTAACCAAGAATTTCTAAGTCGAAAAAGGGGCATAATTATGTTAAACAGCAAATCAGAGTCATGGGACTTGTGCCAATCATCTTAGATAATCACAGAGAACAAGTGTGTGAAGTTTCAATCCATTCCCTTCAGTAGTTATGGAGATAACAGCTTACATACAAAAACTTAACCAAGAATTTCTAAGTCGAAAAAGGGGCATAATTATGAAAAAAAGCAAATCAGAGTTATGGGACTTGTGCCAATCATCTTAGATAATCACAGAGAACAAGTGTGTGAAGTTTCAATCCATTCCCTTCAGTAGTTATGGAGATACCAGCTTACATACAAAAACTTAACCAAGAATTTCTAAGTCGAAAAAGGGGCATAATTATGAAAAAAAGCAAATCAGAGTTATGGGACTTGTGCCAATCATCTTAGATAATCACAGAGAACAAGTGTGTGAAGTTTCAATCCATTCCCTTCAGTAGTTATGGAGATACCAGCTTACATACAAAAACTTAACCACAGGGACGCCGACGCCGACGCCGACGCCGACAAATGGGTGACTGCATTAGCTCGATTATTCTGCGAATAGTCGAGCTAAAAATGAATAAGCTAAATTGAATAAGATATAGATATGTTGCTATGTAGTACAGAACAACTATACTATATACACCTAATGAATAAAATATAAAAAAAATACCACAAAGCAATTGTTTATACAGTTTACATTAACATTTACATTCCAGGTAATATATTTCTTAGTCACACAATTTCTATATTGCACCTAACTCTCGTTACATTTGATCATCACTTTCATGCATTCTTTTGAATTTGCCATTTTAAACGCATCATCCACTTGCTCCAGGGGAAATTCGTGTGTAAGCAAAGGCTTTATGTTAACCTGACCTGAAAACAACAGTTAAACCGGTTCGTTTGAATAAAGAAGGTTACGATTTTTGTTCGAGAAAAATCCATGTACTGTTCGTTGTATCCCGATGAAAAATGACTGTGTTGACTTTTTTAATATGTCCGAAATATTTTACACACTTGTAGTACATTTTAAAACTTTAAACAAATGTGAACAGCTGTAAAGAAATATAGTCCAATAAGATACGAAACACCACAGTTACAAACATTTAATTTTGTACATTATGGTTTGCTACATAAAAAATTTGTTTGCTAACCACAAACAAGAGGGCCATGATGGCCCTGATGTCGCTCACCTGTATATAGGCCCCCCCCGGAGCGGGGCCAGTTTAAACCCCAGGGCTTTTATTTGAACAAACTTGGTAGACACCCATTAAAAGATGTTTCATGCAAAACATCTAAGGTCTAGCTCGTTGGGTTTTTTAAAGGAAGATTTTTTAAGTTTTTTCATTACACATATATTTAAAACAATGACACCCCTGGGGCAGGGCCAGTTTTGACCCCAGGGCTTTTATTTGAAAAATCTTTGTAGACACTTACTAGAATATGTTTCATGCTTTATATCTACACTCTAGCTATTCGGGTTTTTTCGAAGGAGATTTTAAAGTTTTTGCTATACACATATAAGGAAAATCAATGTCCCCCGGGGCGGGGCCAATTTTGATCCCAGGGCTCTTATTTGAACAAACTTGGTAGACATCCATTAGAACATGTTTCATGCTTAATATCTTAGCTCTAGCTCTTTGGGTTCTTTAAAAGAAGATTTTTAAGTTTTTACTATATTCATATAGGGAAAATCAATGACCCCCTGGGGCGGGGCCAATTTTGACCCCAGGGCTCTTAATTGAACAAACTTGGTAGACATCCATTAAAACATGTTTCATGCTAAATATCTTAGCTCTAGCTCTTTGGGTTCTTTAAAAGAAGATTTTTTAAGTTTTTACTATTTACATATAGGGAAATCAATGACCCCCTGGGGCGGGGCCAATTTTGACCCCAGGGCTCTTATTTGAACAAACTTGGTAGACATCCATTAAAACATGTTTCATGCTAAATATCTTAGCTCTAGCTCTTCGAATTTTTTAGAAGAAGTTATTTAAAGTTTTTTTTTTGGTTGCCATGGCAACCAGAGTTCTGCATGGAATTAAATTCTTTGAACAATTTTCAAAGGTGACCACCAAAGGAACATTCCTTAGAAGTTTGGATGAAATTGGCTTAATGGTTTATGAGGAGATGTCATTTAAAGTAAAAGTTTACGGACGACGGACGACGGACGGACGGACGCCGGACGAAAAGCGATCACAAAAGCTCACCCTGTCACAAAGTGACAGGTGAGCTAAAAAAAAGTTTTACAACATGATATGATTTCATTTGATAATTTACATCAAGCGTCACCAAATGCTATCTAGTACATTCTGTAACCTAGGGAAAAGTATGCCTTGATGGAATTTAAAATCAGGCAAGAACAATGCAAGAGGCTCGTTTGTGGCTAAATGCAACAAAATGTAGAGGGTCAATCCACGTTATGGTTAACTTTCCATGCTTCATGTAGCATTTAAAAAAGAAGGATAAAGATTACCCCTTCTTTTATCTTACCTGCAGCTACCATTGCTCGTGCTATTGGATAACAGTGTGCATTAACAGCAACCCCACGGATATCAATTTCTCTAAAACCAGCGCTAACAATTGGTAATGAGACAACATTTTCCCTCAGTCCACTGATTGTAACATTACCACCATTGCGTGTAGTCTGAAAAAGAAATGAATTATTTTAGTTTATCTGTATTGCTTCGCCTGATGTATATATAATGCACATTTATTTCCGAGTAAAATCCATTACTATGAAGCTAGGAATGATGATTGGACACAAATTGGTTAGGCTAACTCCCAATGCATAAATGATTAGAACGATTAGAACATTGTTTTGAGCTTATGTGTTTTGAGCTGATGTCTTCTCTATAGGTGCGGGGAAATTCAAATCTCAAAAATATGAAAGACTTGTGCAAACTTTTTAATTAGTCTATTTATTATATATCATTTTTCTTGTGTTAAATAGAGAGGAAAGTAGAGTGCATTACAAAATGTATTACGCGCGATGTTTGTGTGGCATAAAACTCGAACCATACATTATTATACAACAACACATTCAAAATTGATGTGTATTGCCTAATTGCCTATGTCAATATTCAGCTATATCTCTAGTGTTGACCCCTACATAATTTGAATACACATGTAATGATTTTAAAGAAAAACTCGAGAGCAGACTTTAAAGAATAAGAGGTTAATACACGGCAGGAGAGGGCCGGAAGGTGATAATCGGCCCGCAAAATGAATAATGGACCCGAGGGCTTTAGCCCGAGGGCCATTATTCATTCAGGGCCGATTATCACCTTCCGGCCGTACGCTGACGTGTATTAATGTCTTTAATACACTTGGTAGATCTAATAGTAGCATTTCAAAAAAAAATAAAAAATAACAAAAATATAACCAAAACAAATAGACTTTGAAGTTCTTTCGTTGAAATTCTTGTCTACAGTACTCTTCTACTGTTCTGTACAGAGATGTTTTCTGTTTGTGTGTTCAAAGCAGTAGAACCAAGAAGCAAGTTTTATTTTCATTTTTTTCGGAATGAATTTGTCGTATTATTTCTTCAAATTCAATAGTAACAAAAATGTGTTTGTACTAAATACGCTTAAGGTCTCATAATAAAATAAAGCGATTCGTGCTGACAACCTACTTTCACTTTTACAGTTAACTGTTTGATGACGTTAAATGTGACGTCATTGTTTCAGTTTGTGCACGTGCACATGTTCTGCGGGCTGATAACTAGTTCTCGGCCCCGGGCCGCAAACTCATAATAGGTCACGTGACACTCATAATCAGTTGAAATCATAGGCAATTTTGTTACTATATATAGTAACAAGTGTATTAAGCGGGTTTATCGGCTTACATTTATGGCGGTCTGAATACAACTCTCAACGCCAGTACTATCTATAGTCATGTCTGCTTTACCATCAAATGCATCTATCACCATCTGTACAACGTCTTTGGGGTCCTTTGATGTCACATTTAACGTGAAATCCGCTCCAACTTTCTCAGCGATGTTTAATCTATAGCCATGTTTACCTGACAAATATGCAGTGTGTAAATACATAATATGTATATCTACCGTGTTCTAATTTAATTTCTGAAACTGAAAATAACATATTTTCATTATATTTATACGTGTGCAATAATCAATTTACATTATTATCATTGAAGGGGGAAATACAATAATATTGCAATGTTTAACGGCCGGATTGCTAGTTGTAAACTGTAAAAAAAACTTTTTCATTTTATGCAGTTCGATCTTAATGATACAATGTACTTATATGTAATAAGCCTATTAAAACATAATGCATAGTAACCACGATTCCCAAGGGAAAGAGATGACGGGAGAAAAGAGCCTCCTTTACGAGGGTGCAATTAATACGATTCAAATTGAAGCCAAGTTTTTCTTTGTGTCAGTATTTGGTTTTGTTCCTGGGTAAATATTAAGCACTCTGTTTTAAGAAGTAACACAAGAGTTACCCAATGGTATAGAAAAAAATTGCGTTATAATTATATTGTTCATTTACCTGTTATCCCAACACGGGTAGCACCACTTGCTTTTGCCGCCATAACTGTCATGACACCAATTGGTCCTGAAAGTATAACAATAATGACGCTGTCTCTGAATGTAACTATCCTACAGTATCTGTTTCCGTAAATGTCGCGGAAATTACAATTAAAGCCTTACAATTGAAATATACGTATTTTCTGTGCTCGAAACACAGCTTCGCATGACACAAGTGACATTCCGAGAACAATAACTACTAAATAGCATACATCTCTCTCACGTTTAACCAAAACTACGTCATTCAAATACTAGTTTTACCATAAAATCAACAAATACATGTACTTACATAGCATAGGTACCATTTATATAGAGAGAAATAAAGAATCCCTAAAGAAAGCCCAACAAGACAAAATTGAAAATGTTGCAGGCTCTGTTTGATTGAGCCTGTTCATGGACGGTAATGGAAAAGTGCAAGTTACCGCCCACGCCCTCTCGCACCGGCTTAAGCAGAATTCAACATTTAGTCATGGTAATGGTGAAATTTTGAATTTAGAAACATCCGTAGATGTGTTCATACGGCAGTTATCATGGAATCTTCAATGTGACACTTTCGTGCCATTTCATGAAAAGCGGCGTATGGTCCCCAAGTAAAAGAATGCGAGTGCCCTAAACGAGAGAACAAAGGGCGGAACTAAATTATATGGAATTTTGAAAGGTGATAAGAGGTTTTAAAGTCTGCATATCACAGATATGACGTCAAAAGACAAATTTAAAAAGCAGGCAACAGTTCCTAAGGGTGATTCAACAATATTCAAGTAGGAATATTGGAACCACACAACTAGAGAAATGCTAAATAAGTAAAAAAGCTAAAAGTACCACAAACACAACAATAATGTCGTGCTGAACGATATTTAAGGATCGAAAATATAACATCCCTGATTGAATGTAGGGGCGACATTTTTATATCAGGACATTTTTATCGAATATGTGCTTACCGTCACCTGTGACCAGGACGTCATGACCAAGACCAATACCTGCACGGCGACAGGAATGTATTGCAACCGTCAATGGCTCCATCAACGCACCTTCTTCAGTGCTCACGTGATTTGGTAATCTAGAAGATCGTAATTAACAAGCAACAGCAAAGATTTGAGTGGCATTTAAATAAAATTCGCAAAAAAGCACAAAATTTAACTATAAAAATATTTTTTTAATTTACAACGTAAGGGTAACAACAAACAAACAGACTGCAGATATTTTGTTTCTATGAAATAAAGAAAAGTTGATCATGCGAAATACAAACAACTATAAAAAATAATTTTAAAACAATAAAAACAACATACTTATAACAATCACTGGCTTTGTGTACGAAGTACTTCGACATACTTCCCCATGTCATTGGTGTGCCACATACTTTAACATCATCACAAAGGTTGTAGTTACCTTTCTTACAAACGGAACATGACATACAGCCATATATGGACTCCAGCGCTACTTTGTCACCTGTTTGTAGAAAAGTATACATAGTATTTAAAATCAAAAGATCATGGTTCCCACGTTTCTTAAAGAATATGTTTGGCAAGATTTCCTGTTTTTGACTTACATTTACATGAAGTACCACCATACAATCATCCAAAAAGGCGGATGATTATATTATGTGAACCTACGAATATATTAGGAACACTCTCGCATTATTCTGCAAAATTCTTTAAATAGAATAGTCCCGTTTTAAAACCGACCAGACAACAAACAAACAAACATCTGGGCGTATGAGGGTTTTCAATATCATACAGTCAACTGGGAGTCCGAGGGTTTCAATATCAGACAATTATTTAGAAGTCCAAGAAATTTCAAGCAGTGAGAGGTTTTGATATGAAACAGACAACTGGGAGTCCGTCAGACAGTTATTTGAAGTCCAAGAAATTTCAATATCAAACAGGGATCAAGAAGTTCGAGGGATTTCAATATCAAAGTACTGAAGTTATGCAGACAACAGTATATTGTTTAACAAAATGATACAATAACTGACATTAAGAGCATTGTACCAAGTATTTGTAACCAGCACAACACATTCATTCTTACCAACTTGAAGGGAAATAACTCCGTCCCCAAGTTTGCTGATGATTCCAGCTGATTCATGTCCAAGTGGTAACGGCTCCGTTATATTATTTTCACCAAAAGCAAAATGCTCGAACATGTGCAGATCGGTGCCACAAATACCTACATGCTGCATGCGCACTTGAACCTCTGAAAAATATGTCTTTGAAACGTTTTAAAGAAGAAATGGCGACGTTAGTAAATACATTAGTTAGTAATACTCGTATTACTACAGTGCGCTAAGTTAAAAAAAAATCGAATACGACCGACTTATAGCAAAAGTGATACATTCAGTAAGTATCAAGATGACCAACGTTACATTGATAAATACTTGCTTTTTATATTTCAGATGATCTTATTTTCAAGAAAATTGTGGGGGAAGGGAGGTAAAAATTATCAAAAATACTCACGCCCAGGACCTGGTTCTGGTATACTGATGTTTTCCTGTGACAAAAATAGGATTTTCTTTAGATTTTATATATTTAAATGTAATTTATCGACAAGAAAATTAATAGTCATATTTTGCAGGAACACATCTCTTACCATTATTAGTCACAGATGTTTACCATGAACAAGATCGCCATGATGGCACTTATTCGCTCACCTTAGTATAAATGCTCAAGTTTATTTAAACATGTTTCAATTCTTGCAAATATTGATAAACACCAACTAAAGCAGTAACTGCATGAAATTGTTATTGTGGCCTTGTTTTGACAATCTAATCTTGTAAAAACCATAAACAAGACACAAACAAAAAAAGTTTGATGAGCAGAAAAGGGGACAGAGGCTTTCATTTCATTTCAATTCACTTTATGACCTGCCCTTTTTATCCAAGATAGCCCATTTTCTAAGCTTACCAATATACCATAAAGATAAATGTTCCTACAAAGTTTGATGAAAATAGTATGAAGAAGTGTGTCTTTTTAATAGTGTTTTTCTCCCGGTTTCTGACCCAAGATGATCTATGTTCTGCCTCCGATATTATCTCAGATATTATTGAGATAAATACTCTAACAAAGTTTGATGAAGGTTCATGTTACCTTAATGCTTTGATTTTAACTGGTTTTTATTTTGACGAAAGATAAAAGATTTTTCTTCCGTGTACTACTAGTATTACATTCCGACAAAGTTTGACAACGATTCTATTTATAGAGTTAACAGTTGACGTCGGACGACAGGTGAGCTAAAATCTAAAATTTATTTATCTTTAAATCAAAACATTTTAAAACTAATCTTGAAAATTTCACATGTGCTCCGTGAAAAAAACAACAACAAAACTTGAAGTTCTTTGACCATTCTAAAACATATGTAATTATTCTTACCAGCCGTATATCTTTCTTATTGTATAAAAACGCCGTTAAATTGTTATCCGCCATTATCACCAAAGATAAAAAGAAACTGCGTAAAAAAATCAAAGGCCATGACAGTAATGCCTTCAAACTTGACCACGGTCTAATAAGCACAGCAAATCTTTTTTCAGTCAGGCTGATTTTTTAAACTTATTTTATGAGTGAAACGGTAAACTTACCTACCTGTCCTTCCCTTTATAATTTTCATTATGAACGTGTCCTGCTTTGTTTCGAACAATCCATTACTAGATTTCAATATCGAAATACTAATGTGGCATCTGGCCTGACCATAGCGTATTTAAGATCATAAACGGTTGTAAGTTAATGCAATATATGCATTCTTACTGCAATTTGTCCTTCAAAAATCTTCTTTTACTGCATAAAACTACTAGTGATAAAAGAACTTAATCTGCGTATTTGCAGATGTGGTGAATATTTAAAACGTCACGATTACCATTAAAATGAACTTCTTCGAGACGTTTATATCATTCGTATAAAATAATCATTCATAATAATAGGGCTACAAAGCGAATGAATAAGTTACTATAAGACTTATAGCAGGTTATATGACTGTATATAACAAAAACTATAAAATATACATAACCCGATTCAGCTTGTATAACTATGCTTACAGTTTAAGGTATGAGCCCCATAATGGGCACTATGAGTAACTATAAAATTGACAACATAGGTCAGTTATATACCTCAAAGGACACCTGTATGCAAACTTAAATAAAATTTACCGTATGGTTTACGGGGTTCTGGAGATTTTTCTTAACTTGGCTACCAGAAGTTGCCTCTTCTGGAGCTTGAACCTGTGCCCCTCAGTTTCAATGCACTAGCCTATTTGGCTAGGTTGGTCATATCACAGGAGCTTGAAATCTATCAATAATCGCTCTTAAGTCCGATTAGAAAAAAACAACTCATACCTATATATAAAAAATACTATTTTTATATATAGGTATGATTTTTTTCTAATTGGACTTTAGAGCGATTATTGATAGAATATCAAGCTCCTGTGGTCATATTCTATAATTTATATACGAGACCTCGGACGCTCATTGTAGGTTAGTTCATACTTACACATGAAACAGCTTAACAAACGTGTCAGTCAAGTGTTCTCTGATCATTAAAATGAAGATTGCAAAACAAATATAATATACAGTACGAGGGGTGCAACTATGCCAATATCTCGATTTTAACCACGTTTTGCACGAACTTCCTTGTATTTACATGTACCGCATAGATGGTTGTGTATGCTCTCAATAGATACAATAGATGTGTGAATCTTTTCCGTCTTGCTTTGACAATAGCTCGAAACCTGTGTATACTAAAGGAAAAGGCCGCCTTTCACTGACCAAATACGGTTCTATACCAAGAACCGCTGTATTCTTTGTACACAGGTAAAAGACATATTTAATAAATTATGTTGTGTTTATGGGAACAATGAATTTTCTTTTTAATCTGACACACGGTGGTGTAAGAAATTTTAGTGGTTGGATTCAGTAAAAGATGCACCTCATGCACGCCGTCTTAAAACTGTAACTTCGCCAAAAATGGTTGAAAAAGTACAGGATCTGATTGCTACTGATGCAAGTTACAACAAGGTATATATAGCTAAATGCGTTGGTATCTCTGTAGGAGCCGCTCGTACAATTCTCAGACATGATTTAAAAATGAGAAGTTTAAGTGCCAGATGGATACTCCATCTCCTTACAAAAGAGCAAAAACTTGCTCGGATAGGACTCTCCAAACAAAATAATTGTTGAAACAGTTCCCTAAATGCAACAATCGATCTTTTGCAAAAATCATCACTGGCGATGAGACGTGGGTTCACTTTCATGAGCCCAAGCGAAAAGATACATAACAAAATATGGGCAATCAAAGGAAGCCAAAGACCTTACATAGCAAAACGCACCATGAGCGTCAAAAGGTCATGTACGAGTATGTTATTTTCTTTACCAATCAAGGTCCTGCTATTCAAATTACCGTAACAAATGGTAGATCTGTACATGCCAAGTTTTACAAAGAAAAGGTCCTTCATAAATTAAAGAAATATTTCAAAAACCGTCGACCAGCAACTGGTCTCCGTGGTGTCAGGTTGTTGCATGACAATGCTTCGTTACACAAAGCGGCCATTGTACCAGAATATCTGAATCAGAAAAAGGTTGTCGAGCTTCCTCAGCCTGCTTATTTTTCAGATCTTGCCCCATGTGACTTTTTCCTATTTCCCAGGCAAAGAAAACACCTTGCTGGAAGAAAATATCAAACGCGAAAAAAATCTTGGCTCGGCTATTGTCCAGTGTCTGAACAGTATACCTCGTAAAGATTATGAAAACGCATTTAAAAAGATGGATTAAGGTAGAACGCGACACTTTGCGAACTTTCGAGTAGCGTCTTGAAAATTAGCATGCAAAAATTGACCATATTTCTGATTGGATTTCGTTGATTTTATTTCAAAAGTTTCAGCCAATTTTTGTACACATGACGTCAAAGTTGACCATCAAAGCCCGTTTTTGAACATGACGTCGTTGCGTATCCTTGGCAACTGTTACTGGTATTTCAACGCCATTAGCGGACAAAATATCTTAATTCCTACAGCATTTGACGAAAATTATTTTTTCCTTTAAGCAGATATAAAATTTATTGTTTTACGCCGAAAATTGTTTGAGTAATGGAAAGAAAATTTTCAAATTTGTGTAAAATTTGACGTTCAGTTTAGCCGCAATTTTCGGCTTTAAAGCGGCTTATTAAAAAAATCCTGGAATAAATTTTTGATTTTTTTCTTTAAACGTCCTTTAAAATGTATACTGAGTCAAAATAACTTAAAAAAAATAGGGGGTCACCGACTCAAATTTTTCAGTACACGTGATTTTTTCCCCCACCCCGTGAGTAATTTTGTAGCGAAATTCGACGTATGCAGATACGTTTGAGATTTCAAAGTGCGGCAATAATGTTCAGAATATCAGGAGAATTGTTCTAGAGTTTTACTAATACATATAAAACAACAACAACAATGTTCCATTACAAATTCTTAAAATTGTACGAAAAAAGAACGATTTTTTCTTGTTTTTATAAGCATGAATAATAACTTCATAAGGAATTGTAAACAGACGCATGTAAAGAAAATGACGTCAGGCGTCCAACGGCAACGCGTACGCTGCGCAAACAAAAATAAATACAGCTGAGAGTAATTATTAGCGGTGTTCCTTTTTGATATTATAATACAATAAGATTAATAAACTTGAATCGAGAAATATGCCATAAGGAACAAAAAGCAACTATATATTTTTATGTAAATTTAGAAATTTACGGAAATTCAATCATAAATTAATACGTAGTCTACAAGAAATTCTGCAAATTTATACATTTTGCATTACCCACATAATGAGTGATATACTGTAAGTGATATGTATTTTATTTCACCTATTAAAAACCAGAATTTGAATTTCACTTGTAATCAAAAACTATTGCAACAATTTGACAGAATTGGCGAAATATTGACAAATTAAAATATACGGTTCATAAATGAAACTTAGTCAATTATATTAGCGTGAAGCAAACAGTCATGCTTGAAACGTTAGCTCAGTGGGTGTTGGATTACAGATGTAGCACGTTCGATTCTACAAGTAAATAAACATCTGTAATACATATTCTCTCGTTTTGCTTATCATTTTAGAATATTATAATGTTAAAAATAACGATTGATTGAGGATTCACCATAAACGCTGTATTAAACACATTACTATCAAATCGGCCTTTGCAAATATTCATTATTCACTATATAGCCAAATTTATGGTAGATTTATTTTGAACAGGAAAATTTAGAAACAGTACTTTAAACATGAAATATAATGAAACGCTGTAAATACATGTCTGCGGATTTAAGCGAACCGGCGGCCCTGAGCTAGATACTGCACAAAGGAGTGTTGCGTTGTAAATCTTTATACAAAATAAAGATTTTTCAATATATATGTTGTCATTTTTGCCTGTACATGCTACGGGCACTGTAGAGGATCTGTCGATGTTTCACTAACTATTTAATCAGTATGCAACTGACATGTTAATAAAACCGAGAAATATTACATTTTACTCAAAGTTTTACTATGTATTGTTATTCTGACAAATATCAGATCAGACTATTATTTCATTCCTCTTGTAGAAAGTGGGTAATTCTGAAGCGCATCTTTATTCTATGTTTCATATACAAAATCTATATTAAAGTATATTTACAAGAATAAAAAAATCATATTGTGGTAATATCTGACCGTGTAATTAAAAAAGATACGCATTTTAGTAAATACGGACTTCATTCAAAGTTCCCTCATATTACGAGTGCACGGATCACGGTATATTAGTCATATACGTATTGCATGATATACGGTCCCGTACATCAAATTTCACTTATTTTTACCTGTCTATCTATAATATACGGAATTCCGTACCCTTTATTGTTTCCATATATTTTCCGTAGTGGTCATAATAGCGTAAAATGCCGTAAAAAGCGGGATTTTGACACAGGGCGATCGTTTTAATAACATCAAAAAAAACAAACGCCCCGTGATATCGTGACTTTTATCCAAAGGGGTGGGAGAAATAAAATCACGTGTACCGAAAAAATTGAGTCGGTGACCCCCTAATTTTTTTAGTTATTTTGACTAAGTATACATTTTAAAGGACGTTTAAAGAAAAAAATCAAAAATTTATTTCAGGAATTCTTTAATAAGCCGATTTTAAGCCTAAAAATGCGGTTAAACTGAACGTCAAAATTTACACAAAATTGACAATTTTCTTTCCATTACTCAAACAATTTTCGGTGTAAAACGATAAATTTTATATCAGCTTAAAGGAAAAAGTAATTTCCGTTGAATGCTTTAAAATTTAAGATATTTTGTCCGCTAATGGCGTTGAAATACCAGTAACAGTTGCCAAGGATATGAAACGACGTCATGTTCAAAAACGGGCTTTGATGGTCGTTTGTACAAAAATTGGCTGAACTTTTGAAATAATAATCAACGAAATCCAATGCAGAAATATGGTCAATTTTTTTGCATGCCAATTTTCAGACGCGTACTTCGAAAGTTCGCAAAGTGGTCGCTTCTAACCTTAAAAAAAGACTGAAACTTTCACATGGCGGTGAATATTTTGAAGGACTGAGATAATTATTTTGGCACTGTTTGTTAAGTACTTCTGAAATTTG